TGTGAGAGGAGAGGAGATAGGAGGCGACGGCTGAAGCTGTAGACACACGGGCAACAGGAGCGCGCGCACGGTGGCTACCGGAGCAAGGGCCCCGGACTAGAGGAGTAATTGGCTCTGCGGCTAACTCTAAGCGGCAGGAGCAACGGACCCACGGGCGACAGGCGCAGCAGGCTCTCTGGGCTCTCTGGGCGGCAGAGCCCCGGACTACAGGTGCTGCGGACGACAAGACGGCAGCCTCCGCTCAACCTCCCCCAACTGTCCCACCCCCCTTTCACACACCCCTTGCTGCACCCCTAGCTCCACTCCCACGTCACCCCCCTAACGCCACTCCCTCGGCTCCCACACACCCACCCCCCTCAGCGGCAGCTGCAGCAGTGGGAGACGGAGGAGGAGGAGGAGCAGGGGACGGCTCACACACCTACCACCCCCAAACCCGCCACCCCCATACCCCAAGCGCAGGGCAGAAACGCGGGCAGCAGTTGGGGCGGCGTGTGAGCAGAAGCGGGGCGGCGCGCGGGCCCCCAGGGCGCCTCGACGAGCGACGGGAGGGGGCGACGCGCGGGCCCCCAGGGCGCCGCGACGGGCGACGGGAGTGGCGACGCGCGGCCCCCCAGGGCGCCGCGACGGGCGACGGGAGGGGCGACGCGCGGCCCCCCAGGGAGCCGCGACGGGCGACGGGAGGGGGGCCGACGCGCTGGCCCCCAGGGCGCCGCGACGGGCGACGGGCAGGGCGACGCGCGGCCCCCCAGGGCGCCGCGACGGGCGACGGGAGGGGGGGGGGGGGGGGGGACGCGCGGGGCCCCAGGGCTCCGCGACGGGCGACGGGCAGGGCAGCGCGCGTGTCCCCGGGGTCCCCGAGCGCGTGGCGGGAAGAAAAAAAAAAAACGTCGCGCGCCACGGGGCGCGCGACAGACAGGACAGCAGCGGAAGCAAGTGGGCCCACAGGCCAGGAGCGTAGTCGCTCTGATAGCATGTCACAAGTGTAGCTAGAACGCAGGAGCCATAGCTAGGGTTTAGCTAGCTAGGCAAGAGAAAATAGGCAAAGGAGAGGCTTTGGACTAGCAGCAGCAGGATACATATAGGAAACCCTAAATTGGGCTGTACTCGCTATAGAGTACCCCACTGCAGGCTAGACAATTATCACATTCTGACAGTATACGTCGTCAACATGATGTGCATTGCAGAGGTGCCCATTTGTAGAGCACGTGTTGTCGTTTTTCGCAAGTTAAACATTAGCCAAAACCGCCCGTAACGAACTTCGCGCACAAGCAAAATTTCGTCACCGTGTAATTTTAGCCGGCCAGGAAGATGCTTGGTCGATGCCGCTGATGCATTCATTCATCGACTAAGACCTTGTAGATGGTCACGTTTGTCAACCAGCAAGACTTATCATCAACGTCAACTTAATTCGTCAACGAGCGTCTCGTTGATCTTCCATGTCGTTGCCTCGGAAGTCTATCTATTTCGACATGTTAATCTCGGTGACAGGGCAATTCATCGCATTTCGATCAAAGTTCCCTGAAGTCGGCGCCGACCATGAAACAAAGCCGACTGCACACATTTGAGCACGGAAAAGCAATGTCAACTTCGCCCAAGCAAGGGTGGGGCCTTTCTCGTCAACACTTTCCTGCCCAACTCAAGCTTGGACACACACACGGACGTAAGGTCCACACAAAAGAGCCTATGCAATAGAGCACAAGGGGGATAGTTTGTCGTAGCACAAACTCAGCACTGTGCTCACGGCACCAGCCATGTTGAAGGACATGTCGCCTACTTCTGCGCGTTGGCCACGTCCACGGCGGCAACACGAACTTGCCCACAACGACGAAGCATCAGCCGATCCTACAAAAGTGTAGTGTCTTCGTGAGGACCGCGGGAGGTTTCAGCGTCTTCAACAGCTGGTTCCCCTTCAGTGGTGGTTTGTCGCGACGAGAATTGTCTACGTTGGACTTTCCATGGCCGGCTTCCTGGTCCTCGTCGGACTCCTTGCGGTCAGAGCATTAGTACGAGAGGTACGCAGAGTCTCCGCAGACAAAGAAGTTGCATCGGGAGTTGCGTTTGCCATCGATAGAACGATCGTTGTTCTTGGTTGGCTTCGCGCGGTCGACGTTGCTTGCCGAAATCTCGGTCCTGCAACTGCTTCCGGGCGACATCCTATAGCTCCCTTGCAAACGTTCCCGCTACGTTGAGATGCCATAATTGACTTGGGGGAGCAGCTGCTCCTTTCACCCTCAAATGCGTACGTGAACTCCTTTCTTATGATGGTGCTTGACATGATGTCCTAAGTGAGCTTCACCGTTGGGCACAGTGAATTGTAGCCCTCGGGAAATCCTTTGTGACGTGCATGATGTACGAGGACTCGAGAACTGGATGCTGGTCATCCGTAAGTTGGTTTAAATCCGTTGCACGACGTAGCCGACTCATGCTCGCCCATGTCGAGCCAATGCATATGTTGGAGATTTAGAAGGCGTTGGCCGCGTTGTACATCTTCATGATGAATTCTCAGGCTTGGAAGCCAGCGCCTTCACGAAGTGGGCAAGGTTTCAACGCCACTTGGACCATCGGCGAGCAACACCTCAAGATGACCATGAATGTCAGCAGGTGTGCGGAGCGGAATTGTGTATGGCGGTTAATGTCGTACTCGTCCGGCATCTCCATCGTGATGGTGGGGGAAGGTGAGGTTGAGCAGATGCTGGGAAGAACCAGAGGAGGAATAACAATGTGGTGAGAACCACGAGGAGGAACAGTGAGAGAGAACAACTACCAACTAGTTACCAGTATCCAATTGCAGCATCTAAAGAGAGAAAAGAGGGGGAGGACAGAGTTAGAAGCAAGTGGAGGAAATGAAGGTGGAGAAACGAGGAGGAGGTTGGTGAACGGCGAGGAGTAGGAAGGAACAAATAGCAGATGGGCAGAGCGTGTCAGTAGGTTGCCCGGAGTTGAGGTTTGAGGGGCATAGGGCAAACATTGTAGAGAATACGACGAGGAAGGGGACGCTGCGGACTAAGGAGCGGACGTGATGGCCAAATGAAGGGCAGGTGGCCTTGGGAAGGACCAATGGCCTTAGGAAGGGGACCCGACAGCCTTGAGAGGAGGTAGGAACAAATTAGTAACTGTGAACTTTGTCACAATTGGGGGGTCTCTTGTAATGATTTCTCGTCTAGTGGGGGTAGAACCAAATACATGTAAACATAAAGCACATAGGTTTGCGTAAGCTACCTCTGGAAATCGTCAATTGTGGAGGAGGGAAAAAGTGGGAGGAGAGGAGGGAGGAGTGGGTCTTACATTCAGGTGATTATAGCAAACGGATGGACCCTGATTTAGCGATGACTGGTAAACTCATGCTGGCCACAAAAATATTGGAATGCTTGACTCGGTGATTTACGGTGCTGCGCATCTCTAGTTGGTAATAAGAATGTTTAACCATACTAGCACCATCAGTCCTGTTCACACTCGCAACACTAGGAGAGCTGCGTGTGCTGCTGATCTTCTGCCCACCACTCTGGTCTGGCAACACCATTGCTGATAATCTTGCAGTGCTCCCTTGCTCTCTGGCACCAAAGTACCCTCCACCTCGCACAGCAGTGTCCGTTGCTGCAGCCATTGCAGCTGCTGGTGGTACAACCACCAACACATCAGCACCACCTGCCACGCTGTGCCCTCCTACACCTCCCCTTTGCTGGCCCGATTCGCCAATGGCGCCAGCCGCGACAGTTGAAGCAAGCTCGACCCCGCCACCACTACCCCTACCTCTACCGGCACCGCTACTGCTACTGGTACTACTGCTGGAATCTACAGCAGCCGCTTCAACACGTTGTGCAAGCATGGCAGGAGGTTGAAGAATCAGCGCATTTTCTTGCGCTTGTTTCTCGGTGACCTGGCGTGGCAACACGACCCTTGTCTTTGTCTCTGGCGCAGGTGCAGGCGTGGCGGAAGGAATCGGAGAAACGCCTTGAGGCAAGGCAGCAGTGGAAGGGAGAGAGGATTCAATGGGAGAGGAATGGGCGACAGTGGTGGCTGCAGGAGGAGCAGCCGGAGACGGAGGAGGGGCACGAGGAGGAGGAATCGGGCTGGCATGGGATGACGCAGCAGCAGCAGAAGCAGCAGGAGCATTTGCAGGAGAACCAGCAGCTGGCAAAGGAGCAACAGGAGCAGGAGCAGCGGAAGTAGGAGCAGAAGGGGAAGGGTGAACTGGGAGTGGGGGTGGCGGAGGCAGTAGCGGCGTGCAGCAGAGTGGTGACCACCACGGTGTGGTTGTTGTCCCTCGCCTCGTCCATGGGCGTGCGCTGCCACCGGTCCCTCACACCCAGGCTCGCCCCCCCTTGCAGCAGAACCTGGGAGTTGGAGGTTGGGGTGTCCGGAAAGAAGAAAGACGTGGTTGTGGTTATTGTTGCTTGCTTTGTCTGTCATTGTGCAATCCCACCAATTCTAACCACCTGCATTGCCCCATGCTTCCTAGAAGCTCAGACATGTGACATTCCAAACAGGCAAATCGGAGCAGGAAACTCAAGTTAATGCACTCTTGCTCTCCCTTCTAGAGTTCGTACCAGCTGTTCCCACCGGCATTTCGCGCGGCATTTCGCACCAGCTGTTCCCTGGCTGGCTGGGCTGCAGGGTGGAGGTCGGCTGTGTTGCTGGAGGGAAACTAGAAGGCGGGAGAAGGAGGAGAAGGGGAGGGGAGGAGCTTGCCCCACCAACACATCTCCTGCGACGTCTAGAAGGAGCTGGCTGGGCTGGGCTGGGAGGTGCAGAAGAGTGTTTCTCTGTATGCATGTTGGATTGGAGCTCACGTGTGAACCTTGGTGAGGGAGAATAGACGGGGGAGTGGAGAGGGGAGGGTGCGAATGGAGTGAAAAGGGTTGGTGGGACCGAGGCAGCTCGAACATCCGAGGCAGCTGGTGGGAGTTTGCAGGCCTTGACATCCCTTCAATTCCACCGCAAGGGATTGACATCCCTTCAATCCCTTCGCAAGGGTTTGCGCATGAGTGCATGGATGGGGCTCACCTGCAGGACTGGAAAGGCGGGAGGGAGGGGGAGTGAAAGGCGCGGCGGGTGGTTGTGGTGGAGCAGGCGAGGTGGCACGTGTGCTTGCGGTGATTGCGCGGCTGGGTCATTCCCTGGTGGCTGGGGGAAGATGTGGGGAGTAAGGGGGGGACGAAGGGGGGAGGAAGGCGGCGGTGGAGAGAGAAGGGGAGTGGTGAAAGATGGGAGGAGTAGTAGAGGTGTGCAAGAGAAGGGAACAGAGAAGTGGAGTGCCAACACGTGAGTAGCAAAGAGGGTACACTGCAAATGGGGAACCGCAGAGCAGAGTAGGTGCCAGGGCGCGCTGCACTTCTGCCTTTCGAGGGGTCTGGCAGAAAAGTGGCAGAGCAGAGGCAGAGCAGAGGCAGAGCAATGGCAGAGCAGAGGCAGAGCAGAGGCAGAGCAATGGCAGAGCAGTGGCAGAGCAGAGGCAGAGCAATGGCAGAGCGCACTGACCTGCGGAGGATCTGAGCGGTGCTCCAGTGGCCGGCAGCAACGGCCTCCTGCAGGGGGGTGCGCCAGAAGGCGTCCTTGGCGTTCACCTGCGCGCCGTGCGCCAGCAGGAACGCCACCACCTTGTCCTGCCCTGTCACTGCTGCTAGGTGCTGGTCGAGGGGGATGGGGGAACAGAGGAGAGGGAAACGGGGGGGAGAGAGAGGGGAAATGGTGTGGGGAAAGGAGGTTACACGGCACCACCTTGTCCTGCCCTGTCACTGCCGCCAGGTGCTGCCCATGGAAGGGGATGAGGGGAGAGCGGGGAAGGTGGAGGAGGACATGGCGTGGTGTGGTGTGGTGTGGTGTGGTGGGGAAAGGAGGTCAAAAGGCGTTCTTAGCTGAATCAACTTAATTAGCCAGCGCAACAACTCCCTGCTCTCACCTCATCTCACACTCATTCATCTCACCATGGGCGTGCGACCATCTCACCATGGGCGTGCGGCCATTGTAGTCAGCAGCGGCCACATCAAAGCCGCCAGCAGTCCAGCATGTCACCACGCTTGGCCGCGTAGCACAGGTTCATCAGCGTCTCCTGCACCAGCCGGTTGCGGAACGACTGCGGGCGAGGGAGATGGGAAAGGGCAGCGGAAAGTGAAGAAGGGCGGGGGAGGGGGGATGATGAGGGGGGACTCAAGCATGACCCCCTTTCGCCGCGTAGCACAGGTTCATCAGCGTCTCCTGTACCAAGCGGTTGCGGAAGGACTGGCGAGGGGCGAGGAGAAGAGCGGCGGGGAGGAGCGGTGGAGAAACATCACGGGGATGGGTACGGAGTGGGCAGGCAGAGTGTGGAAGCCGGGGTGAAGGAAGTGAAAAACATCACGACATGGTCTCATTGCTGCACCAACTGAACTGGCTGTAAAGGCTGACAGAGAGGCATGGCAAGGAGAGTGAGGAAGGGTAGGTGACGAAGGTGTAGGTGCGAGACTCCGGTTGGCGAAGGTGTGAGAGAGAGGGTAGAAGAAGAAGATATCAATGCCGTTCAGAACAGGCTGCTCCGGAAGAGAAGGTGAAAATGGATACGTGGGACAGGAGAAGGAGAATGGGGTAGTGTTCCGGGTGTACACCCCCTAGTTACACCCCGCATCTTCCCCCTGCCATACTGCCATGCTGTCATGCAGCTCCCCCCCACCACCTCACCTCGACCTCGTTCTTGAGCAGCAGAGACAGCTCTGCCATGGTGCTGTTGCCGGGGTAGAAGCGGGCCGTCGCCTCCGCCCTGCTGCGCGCCCTGCACAAGTCATGAATGCGGAGAAGATGGAGGGTCAACGGCGGGGGGGCTACGTGAGGTAAGCTGTGGTGATTGTACACAAGTGAGGGGTAAAGGCATGCTGTCGCCTTCGCTTAGCTGCATGCCTTGCGTGGTGAGCAAGAGCACAAGGAGTGGATGGGGGATGGCACGTGGTGATCACAGCAAGGCGTGGTGTAGAAGCACACTGCTGCCTCCGCCGTGCTGCGAACCTTGAGAGGAGATGAATGAGGAAGGGTGTGGTGGGTGAGGCGTGGATGGGTACAGAGCACTCACCGGTTGAGCAGGTTGGCGATGCCGTGGCGGTCATCAGCGGGGTGGGTGCGAGCCACGGAGCGGTAGTCGTCTCGTGAGATGGAGAGCACCCGACACACCGACAGCGTGCGCACCGTCCACAGCTCCGTGAGGTCGCGCAGGCAGGCGATCTCTGGTGAATCCAGAGAGGGTCGGATGGGGGTAGGGCACCACATGAGGCTCTAGCATTGGGGATCCAACGTCAAACAGATCAGACAGCGTTCGCACTGTCCACAGCTTTGTCAAGAAAGGATACAGCACAGAAACGGGATCTTTGGAAGTGTGCAGTGCCAGTGGCGGGCAGAGGGAAGGATAGGGGCAACGTATGAGGCCTAAGTCTTGCTTTGATACCACACTGACAGCGTGTCGCACAGTAAGGGGATCCTCTGAGTCGGGTGGGGAGTGGGGTGATACGGCGAGGGTCCACCAAATAGGATAGGAAAGAGGATAAAATGAATTCAAAAAACGCATTGTCCTCACAACTCTCGAAACTGAGTTTGGGTGTCTATCTCTAACTGAAGCTTATAGGATAGATGCAGGTTACAAACCAGGAAAATATTCTGACAGTGGAGAGGGTTGAGGAGAGGAAAAGATCACGTGATGACTCAGTCGGCTTAGAGACGACCCACCCCAGATCCTCCTTCGCCCTCCCCCCCATTGCACTCCTTTCGCTTGCTCTCACCACATCCCCAAAGCTTGGCAAAACTCGTACGCCCCGCACTCACCTCCCACGCAGTCCCCCTCGTGCAGCACGAACCACTGCATCTCATTGCCATTTTTGCCACGCACAAGCACCTGGGCAAGGGAGAGCAAGAGTGAGGGAGTGAGTGAGGGAGGGAGGGTGAAAGAATGTGAGAGTGGAAAAGAACCAGAGAGCCAGGAAAAATGCGAGGTTGTGAGGAGAGTGAAGTCTGCATCGCGTTGCTGTCCTCTTGTCCCCATGTCCTCCTGTCCTCCTGTTCCCATGTCCTCCTGTCCTCTTGTCCCCATGTCCTCCTGTCATTCTGTCCTCCTGCCCTCCTGTCCTGCACCTAAGTTACTTCATCAACACACCTCGCCGTGCCCAAATATCGCTGTGTCCACACCTCGCTGTGCCCACACCTCGCTTTGCCCACACCTTGCTGTGCCCACACCTCGCTGTGCCGACACGAAGCCATCAAGCACGCACCTGCGCCTGCCCCGAGGCAATGATGAGCAGCTCCGTGGTGCTGTTGCCTGCCACCAGGTCCACGTGTGGCGGGAAGAAATCCACATTGGCACGTGTTGTCACTTGGTCCTGCACGCACACACACACGTCCATGCACGCATGGGGGGATGCAGGGATGCAGGCGAGGGGTGCAGAGCAGTGCAGTGGTAGGGGCCATAAGGGATATGAGAGTGGTTGGGAGTAAGAGAATGCAATGAGGTGGAAAAAAACGGATTTGGTGCAGTGCAAAAGCTTACGTGTGGCATTATGAAAGACACAAGGGTGACACAGATGGATGGTATAAGGAGACAGTGCGGAGATAACTTCTACGGGAGCTAGACTATTGGCTAGGCACGGGTGCTCGTGTGACCTCTGCGTTCGTTGGTCCTTAGTCGTTTTCCTAGTGCACACACTGCTTGCTAGTTCACGGGGCAAATTGGCAAGAGTTTCACTAGAGAAAGTTGACAACAATGGTACAATGAAGTTGGCATGGCAAGACTACATCAGAGCTAGCATTCAGGTCGGTCGACTGCCAGCGCAGCGTGGTCGACCACGTTCCAGCACGACTTGGTCGACCGCGCTCCAGCAGTGCAAAGTCAACGGCGTGCCAACATCGCAAGTTGACGGCGTGCCAGCGTTGCTCCCGCAGGACAGCATCGCACCAGCTTCGCAGGTGCTTGCAGATGATTGGCGGGCTGAGCCTCGTCACCCGCACAACGCACACACCAAGTCATCCTCGTGCTGACGACTCCACCTGATCCGCCATGTCGACCTCGGGATACCACCACCGAGGTCGGGCTCGCCAACTTCGCCTGGGCGACCATCGCACTCCTCCGCAGAACCTCGTCACCCAGGTAACCTGGTTGACCGGGCAACCACGTCGACCAGCTGCTCCTGTATGTGCCCGTCGACCTCCCAAGTCGACGACCACCCCAAGTCGACCTCACCAAGTCGACCACGCTCCTGGTCGACCAGCTCCAGGTCGACGTCACTCCTGGTCGACCAGCCCCACGTCGACCAGCACTCCTGGTCGACCAGCTCCATGTCGACCAGCGCTGTTGTCAGCCGACCACCCAAGTCGGCTACCCGAAGTCGGCGTCACCAAGTTGACGCCCTGCTACTCGACGCCCAGCTGCTCGGCGTCCTGAGTCGTGGTCGACGTCGGCCCCTCCTCCGTCGACCACCAGGTCCGGTCGACCACCAGGTCGACATCACGCCTGGTCGACCAACCACCAAGTCGACCAGCAGGCCTGGTCGACCAACCACCAGGTCGACCAGCAGTCCTATCAGCCGACCACCCAAGTCGGCTGCCCCCAAGTTGGCGTCACCAAGTTGACGCCCTCCGCAGGTCGACTTCCCAGGTCGACCTTCCTGAAGTCGGCGCCACCCTGAAGTCGGCGCCCATGCAGTGGCCCCCGTGCAGGTCGACCTCCTCGTCAACCAGCTCGCCCACTGCTGCAGGTCGGCTGCTCCCCTCACACCCGACCACGAAGTCGGCTCCGCCCAAGCGAGGACGGGGCCAACACACAACTCCCGTTGACAGACAGTGATTGTCAGATGGGTGGGGTGAGTTGTATGGGCGCTTGGGGTGGGAGGGCGGCAGCATGGGAGGGCGGCAGCATGGGAGGGCGGCCGCATGGGAGGGCGGCCGCATGGGAGGGCGGCCGCATGGGAGGGCGGCCGCATGGGAGGGCGGCAGCATGGTAGCGCCCTCACTCACGCGGAAGATGTTAGAGGTGCCGGCAAAGAGGTAGGAGGAGTTGACGAAGCGCGAGTACACGTGGCGCTTCACCAGCGTGCACACCGATGATGGGCAGTGCAACAACAGATCGTCCCTCACCTGCATACATGCACACTCACACATGAGAACATATGCATGCACACACGCATGCACACACGGGCACATACAGACATGAATGCATGGATGATGGGGAGTGCAACAACACATCGGCCCTCACCTGCATGCATGCACATTCACACATTAGCACATATGCATGCACACACGCATGCACACACGCGCACATACAGACATGGACGCATGGATGGGCAGTGCAACAACACATCGTCCCTCACCTGCATGTGCGCATGCACACGTAAACACGGCACACAGGCGCACACGTACGCACATATTGCGGCTGCCCCCTGCAAGGCTTCACCTATGTTCCACCTATGCTGCTCTTTGTCGCCTCTTTCCCGCCTGCGCCCGTCTCCTCCTGCTGCTGCCTCCTGTTCTGCTCTCTCTCCGTCGGGTGCTCTGTTAGCTCTTTCCTCTGTCCCCTCTGCTGCCACCCCCTTTTATGCGGTCTCATCTGTCTACTCCACCTCAGTCTCGCTCAGTGCCGCCATAGTAGGCCCTGCTTGGCCCTAGGAACACCTCATCCTGGTCTGGTATCCACCTCTCCGTTGGATCCTCCTCATCTTTGCTGTCCCAGTCCATTGCTGGCTCCTCCCAGTCCTCCTCATCCTCCTCCTGGTCTGGGTACCTCCCTGGGATGCCATTCCTTTCATCCAGCAGCCTCCCTGTCCTCTTTTCCTGCGGGACCCCCCGACGCCTTTCCTCCCGGACTTCTTGTTCCAGGTGTGCCAACAGTATCTCCGACTCCTCTTCTGTAATCTCGTCCTCCCTGGTCTTGGGGTCTGCCCTTGCCGCATGGTCCCTCCTCCTTTCCAGTCGGTTCTTCTCCAGGTACCGGTGCAGGACTCCGACTAGCCAGTGAAGCGCGTTCAGATCCATTGCATTCCCCAAGGCTCTCTTCCTCTGCCGTTCCGTCACATGCTCACTCGCCATGAAACCCATTGCCAGCTCTCTCTCCAGCGCCGTCGGCTCCTCCCAGATCCCCTTCAGCCTGTCAAACACCATCTCGGGTCCTTCCTGCCTCCCTTCCATCTGGAATCCCCTTGCCTGGTCGTGTGCTACCAAAGTGGGCCATGCTTGCCGAGGTTCTCCAACCTTGTTGCACGGGAACTGCGTCTCATGGTCGGGATGCCTGACAGGTGCTGGCAGCCTCGCCGGTTCTAGTATATCCGACAACAGGCCACCAGGTCGACAACAGGCCTGGTCGACCAACCACCTCGTCGACCAACAGTCCTGTCAGCCGACCACCCAAGTCGGCTGCCCCAAGTTGGCGTCACCAAGTCGACGCCCACTGCAGGTCGACTTCCCAGGTCGACCTCCCTGAAGTCGGCGCCACCCTGAAGTCGGCACCCCTGCAGTGGCCCCCGTGCAGGTCGACCTCCTCGTCAACCAGCTCGCCCACTACTGCAGGTCGGTTGCTCCCCGCACACCCGACCACGAAGTCGACTCCACCCAAGCGAGGACGGGGCCAACATACAGCTCCCGTTGACACTCCCCTGTCGCGTTCACACTTGGGCCCCCAGCCCTCACGGCAGCACTCCTCGGATAATATCTCGTCGACGTGCACCCAACACACAGCACGTCGTCCACCGCACCAGCCATGCAAGAGGGCAAGGCACCTACTGCTGCACGTCGTTGTCCCCGTCGCCCACGTCGGCCAGGCGCACCTGGCCGATGGCAGCGGAGCACCGGTTGAATGCCTTCGTCAGGAAGTCGGCCGGCTGCTGAGCGGTCGGGATGTACTTCAGCGAATACTTCCCACGCTTCACTATGTGCTGCAGCCAGGCCTGACGCCGCTCCATGTGCTTGAGTTTGCCCGTCAACCCCATGCCCTCGGCGACTGTGATGGCCGACTTGTTGTCCACCCGAAGGACGGTTGGCTTCCCGGCATCCTGCTGCCGGAACTCTGCAAGGAGGAAGCGAAGACGACGTCCCTTCTTGCTGGCTTCCGTGGCCGTCACGTACTCCGACTCGGTCGACGACAGCGTCACGCACTTGATACGCTGGCTCGACCAGGAGACTGCAGCCCGAACGCCAGGGCGGTGTCACACGTGTTGGCGAGGTAGGCGAGGCAGCGGTCGACCTCGCGCCAGTGCTGGTCGCTCCTCACCGTGAGGCCGCTCCCCAGCTTGCTGCAGGCGAAGGCGATGTCCGGCCTCGTCGTCGTCGCCGCAAACTGCAGCGAGCCGACCTTCTGCCGGTACTCCTCCACCTGTCGCTCCTGTGCCTCCTCGTCGTCGAAGGTGAGCTCGGCGTAGGCGTCGACCAAGACCGGCGTCTTCGGGGTGCGCCCGGTCTGTTCCTCGTCGATGAAACGCCTACAGCTTGTCGGCGTAGCCCTGCTGGTGCAGCCACAGCTTCCCCGCCGACCTGTCGTGGACGATCTCCAGCCCGAGGTACTTCTGCACCGGCAAGATCTCACGCAGCTCAAAGGCGGACTCCAGCAGCCCCATTAGCTCCTTCAGCATCTCGGTGCTGCTGCTGGCGGCGAGCAGGTCGTCGACGTAGACCAACACCCAACAGGCCACTCCGTCGTCGCCGACCTTGAAGTACAGAGCCTCGTCGACCTGGCTCTTCTTCCACCCGGCGCCGACCAGCACGTCGTTGAGCGCCAAGTACCTCAGCAGCGGCGACTGCTTCAGGCCGTACAGGCTCTTCAGCAGCTTGCACACCCGGCCAGTTCCGTCGTTGAAGTAGTCCGGCTGGGACATGTAGAGCACCCGGTCGAGCTTGCTCTGCAGGAAGGCGTTCTTCATGTCGAGCTGCATCAGGTTGAGGTTGAGGACGGCAACGATGCTGAGGAAGATCCTCAGCATGACGTAGCTGCCCACCGGCGCAAAGGTCTCGTTGTAGTCGGCGCCATACACCTGGGTGAAGCCCTTCACGACCAGCCTCGCCTTCTCGTGCTCGACGGTGTCGTCGACGTCGTCGTCAACACCAACCGGTTCTTCATGATGTTCACCAGCTCCCAAGTGCCCATGTTGATGAGGCCGCGGATCTCCTCCTCCATGGCGACCTTCACCGCCGGGCCCTTCCAGCTAGCCAACGCCTCCTTCACCGTCATCGTCGAGATGTCCCAACGGTGCTCGGGGTCGGCATGCATGTCGGGGTCGAGCTCCGGAAACTCCTCATCCTCCTCAGCGTCGTCATACGCCAGGTCGTCGTCGTCCACGTCGTACACCGTGGTGAAGGCAGCGGGGACAAAGAAGTCAGGTGGCCTCCGAAGTCGGCCTGACTTCCGGGATTCAGGCCGAACCTCCACCACGTCGCTGTCGATGGACTGCTCGGCGTCCCCTCCTTCGTCGCCGGCTTCGCTGCCCTCGTCGTCCTGCTGCACCTCGGTCGACTTCCTGGCCGACTTCTCCCCTGTGGTCGGCTCCTCTGCCGACTGCCTAGTTGCCAACTGCTCCATGGTCGGCTTTACTGCTGCCTGCTCCCCTGTCGGCTGCTTCTCCTCGACCTGCTCCTCCTCTAGCAACGTCGACTGCACTCCCACGTCGACTTGCTGCTCGTTGTGCCGGCCACTGGCGATGCTCTTGGCTGGCGCCGAAGGCAACGTCCCACTACTCCCCTCATCGCCGGAGGCCGAATTCGAGGTCAGCCCGCGCAGGTCGGCCAGGAGTGGAGGGGCAGGGGTCGGAGAGGGAGGGGAAGGAGGATGGACGACCTCGACGTCCTCAGCAGCAAGCTCACCGACCTCGGCAAGCAGAGGCAGCGTCGCCGTCGAGGTGTCGGTCGGCGGGGTGGTCGGCGTCGGTCCGGACACCGGCTGTCAGAATTCTTAGGCGGACACCTAAGAAATTCTGACAGAGGGTGTAGTGAAGGTAACAGGGAGGAAAGCTTGTACATTTGTATATAAGCGAAGCACTCAGCGACGGGGAACAGTAAGGGCAGCGGTGGGCGAGAGGGGAGACTCGGCAGGGGGGTGGCACTGAGGAATTCAATCCCGGGTAGGGCGGTGAGCTGAATGGAGGGAGGTGCGCTACCGGGATCGGCGGCAAGATGACGTGGCGTGGGGGGGCGAATGTGTGATGTGTGGTGTGCATGTGTGTGCTTTGTTTTCTCTTGCAGACACTGAGTCCAGGATGGAGCTGGAAGCCAGGAACGCCATCTGGGGGCAGGCAGGAAAGCAGCATGGATGGCAAGCTAGGCAGCCAACCAGTGGTTCTTTGTTAGGCTAGCCTAGCTGGGGTTTGAGTAGGGAAGCTAAAGGCAAGAACCTGGGCCATGGGACTGCCACTGCGTGTTTGTTTTCGTAAATTACTGCAATAACTTCAACAACGCAGCTGCAATAACTTCAACAACGCAGTGTGCAACGAAGCCATAACAGCAGTCAAAATGAGTTAGGAACGGGAGGAGTTTGCCATATGAAGCCTGCCTCTAGTAACTCGTGACACTTCTCATTGCATATCTGGGTCTCTACTGCTGTCATACGCCCCGCCGCTGGTACACTGGGATGTCTGTTGTCAGCTCCAGGGTGACTTCCACCATGTTGCATCTCCTCACTTCCTTCAACGAGTAGGCGAATGCCGCCCGGTGCTTGGCGAGCACCTCTTTCAGCTTGCCTGCGTCTGCTGCTGAGACGCCCTCCCCTATTACCCACTCCTGTACCCCTTTGTCTCGCCTAGATGCCTGCAACTCCTCCTTCGGCTGCTCCGCTCCTTCTGTCCCCCTTGCCGACTGCTGTGCCACTTCTGTGCCCCCAGTCGTCTGCTCGCCCTGCGCCTCCACCCCTTTGGGACCCTCCTCTTTCGTAGCTGCCATGAGCACGAAGTCACTAAACCCAAATTCCCGCTCGTACCTCTCCCTGCTCCGCTGCCTTTCGATCGCCTCTTCCAACCAGCTGAAGTCCTCCCGCTTCTTGTCCACTGCCTCCTCCTCCCGGTCTCCTGGGAGCCAGATTTCTTCCTGCTCTGCGTACACCATCGGTCTCTCATCCTCCTCCTCCCAGGGGTAGACCCACCTCCTCTCCAGCGGGTGCCCCGCTCGTGTTGCCGCTCGTCTTGTTCCTGGATCTCTCCTAACATTGTCCGCGCCAGCGCCTCCTTTGCAAGTGACCTTTTTGTTGGCGGTTGCACAGCTGTCGCCTTGTCCCGCTTCCTCTCCCATCGCAGTTGTGAATGGTACATCCTGATGGTGGCTACCAGCCAATGCATCACATTGAGATCCATGGCTCTTCCCAGCGCCCTCCGCCTCTCTTCCTCTGTTACTTCCGGATGTGCCGTAGCGTCCACCATGAACCCCATGGCTAGCTCCCTTTCCAGCGCCGTCGGCTCCTGCCATTCCTGCGCAGTGCAGTCGTAAACCATGCCTGGGCCTGGAACCCCATCATGCATCCTGAAGGCTGTGGCTTCGTCGTGCGAGACGAACGTTGGCCAAGCCTGTCTTCGCTTTCCCACTTCGTTGCAGGGAAACTGCGTCGGGTGATCCGGCTGATCCACGAGTGCCGGCATTCTCCCACGTTCTAGAATATCCTCTACCAGCAGGGGCGCCGGCCGTTCCATCAGCGAGAGTCGATACTGCAGCGCCGCCTCGCTCACCCCATTTGTCCAGTAGCGACGGACCCGATGTGTCCTGCTTCCCGCTTGAGCCCCATCTGCCACTACGCCCGGCCCCAGGGCCGCCGTCACTTCCTCGTGCGCCACCTGCACCTGTTCCCTAATATCTCCTTCCATGTCTACGTTCTCGACGATGTATAGCACGTCCCCTTGAATTTGCTTTATCAGCTCCAGCACCCGCACCAGCAACCGCTCCTTTCATCCCTCATGCCTCTTCCGGCTCCCGCTCGCGAGTAACCCGGGCACTCCCACCCCGCAATGACCACATCGATCCTCCCCATTGCCGCAGTTGGTGCTCATCGCCGGAGGCCGACTTCGAGGTCAGCCCGCGCAGGTCGGCCAGGAGTGGAGGGGCAGGGGTCGGAGAGGGAGGGGAAAGAGGACGGACGACCTCGACGTCCTCAGCAGCAAGCTCACCGACCTCGGCGAGCAGAGGCAGCGTCGCCGTCGAGGTGTCGGTCGGCGGGGTGGTCGGCGTCCGTCCGGACACCGGCCCGTGCTCCGACTTCCACACTTCCAGCGGCATATCCTCGTAGAACACCACGTCCGACGTGGTGACCACCCGGTTGTCGGCGACGTCGAGGAGCTCCCAGCCCTTGCTCTCCTCCGACACGCCAAGGTGAAGACCCCACCTGGCCTTCGGCTCCAGCTTCCCACCACGTTGCTGCTCGGGGACCAAGAACTGGGCCATGCAGCCCCACACTCGTGCCAGCGACAAGTCAGGCTTCGTCCCGGTGAGGAGCTGGTACGGCGTCGTCCCCGGCGGCAGCGTCGACCTCTCAAGGCAGTTGCGGACCCAGACGGCCTGCCGCAGAGCGAGGTGCCACCAGTGGTGCTGCACGCCCATGTGCAGCAACATCGTCCGCACCGACTCCACTACCGACCTCATCTCCCGCTCCGCCATGCCGTTCTGCTACGGGCAGCACATCCAACTTCTTGGCGACCGGCCTCACCCACACATAGCAGGACTTGCGGTCCTTCAGCAACAAGAAGTACAAGCTGCCGTCCTTGGCAGCCACGTGGAACGGCCCGCACAGGTCGATGTGCACGACGGCCAACACGTCGTCGGCGTCGGAGCCTTGGTCGGGGAAGGTGTGCCGCGCCAGTTGCCGACGCACGAGACACACGGCGAGTCGGCGCCCGACGCCGACTTGAGGTCCAGCCCAGTGGCGACCTCGTGCTTCGCCGAGCTACGGATGGTGTCCATGCCGACGTGTGCAAGCCTCGTATGCAGCCTGTCCGGAGTCGACTTCGTTGCCGAGACGATCTCCCGCAGGGCCACTACCTCCGACGTGGGCGACGTCGACCTTGTTGAGCAGGGACGCAGGTCGGTGCAGAGGACACGCCCGGAGTACGTCGCCCGATCGGCACCTCTCCCGTTGCCGAGACGAGCAGCATCCCGTCGCCGTCCTCCTGCAGCTTCACGCCGTGCTCCTTCAGCTGGCCGGATGACAGCAGGTTTGCCCGCACACCCGGGACGTACAGAACGTCGGGGATGAGCACCTGCTTCCCGGCCTCACCTCGCAGGGTGACAGTGCCGCGGCCCTGGACGTCCTGCAGCGCCCCATTGAAGCCGCACACGTGCTTGACAGAGTCGCTCAGCTGCAGGTCGACGAAGACTTCCTTCGTCCCCATCAGGTGGTGGGAGCAGCCGCTGTCGAGCAGGACCACCGCCGGGTTCGCCTGCACAACTGCCGCCACCACCTGGAAGTCCTCCCCGGCCTCCGGCGCCAGCGAGACGGTTGGCTCCACGACGTAGACCAGCGAGCACGACGCCGTCTTGTCGTCCCGCCCCTTTCCACTAGCTGAGGAGTCGGCATCCTTCGCCGAGGACGACTTCGTCGACTGCTTGTCCTTGCGCGGCTTGTTTCCTCCACGATGAGGACGATGACTGCCAGACCTCCCGCGGCCTCCCTTGGCGTCGTCGTCGTCGGAGTCACTGCGGTCGGGGCACTCGAAGGGGAGGCGGTCGGGGTCATCGCACAACCAGCACTCCCGACGTCGACTTCCTCCTCCTCGACCGCTGTCCTTGGTCGACTTCTTCTTGTCGACATCCTGGGCCGGCTTCCAGCCACTGTTACCACCACCTCCAGGCTGCCCACGCTGCCCCGGTCGACCTCCTTGCTTCGTCGGGGCGACGAAGTTTGCCTGCGCCAAGAGCTCCTGGGACCGCTCAGCCTCCTGGATCGCCTCGTCCTGCAGGATGTACGAGGTCAAGTTGTCCTCGTTGAGCGTCGTTCTCGTGCTCGGCGCCATTGACAGCCGCTTCAGGAGGTTGTAGCTGCTCGAGAGTCCCTGCATGACGTGAGTGACGTACGACGCTGTCGAGTACTGCGCGCCGGCCATCCTGATGGTGGCGAGAATTCGCCGGGCTCGGTTGCAGTAGTCGGTCGCCGTCTCCTCGTCGCCCATACGCAGGTGCGTCAGTTGCCCTTCCAGCTGGGCGATGAACAAGTCGTTGGTGACTTGGTAGGTCGACTCGATGAAGTGCCACGCCTGGTGGCCAGCGTCGAGGTACTCTCGGCACCACTTCAAGGCGATCTGCACGCCCGGCGAGCAGCACCGCGAGATGACCGTGAAGGTCAACAGCTGCACGGCGCGAAACTCCGCACGCAAGTCGGGGTCGTCCGGCGTTGCCACGGTGCGAGAAAAGCTGATCAGCCCGACCATCTCCAGCTGGGGCTCGATGGCTTCCTCCCGGGTGAGTATGTCCTGTCGACCAACGAGCGGCAGGGTGACCAAGATCCTGTTCGGCGTAAACTGGAAGTAGCCGTAGCTTGGTGCAATCCCGTCCGTCGTCACCTGGGTTGCCGATATCGGCGACAATCCGCTTCGTCGTCCTCCGACGTCACCTTGCGATGAGCCTGCAGTTTGAACGCCTGAACGCGCCGACTTCGTCGGCGTGAATCACACCACGCTGCCTCGACGTGCCTCCCGCACTGCTGCCGACTTGGCCACCTCCGGCGTTGACGCCCACGTCGACCCCGCCTTCGTTGGTCACCGGTCGAGGAGAAGCTGGTCGATAAGGGGGATGCTCCGCTGCCCACATGGTGCGGAGTCCAGCCTCGACGACCGCCCAGGTTATCGGACCGTACTCCTGGGTCTCATGGCGTCTCCTTGCATCCTCCAGCTGTCCCTCCAGAGTTTCCATCACCTCTGCATCACCTACGCGTACGCTAGTGACTGCACGGCTGCCGGCCTATGAGCAACTTAGGTAAGTGACCACTACGTCGACCTGACTGAAAGGTAAGTCGTGTGCCGTCCACGCTCACCGCACCATGCGAAGATAACTACTACAACGGGAGCTAGACTACGGGCTAGGCACGGGTGCTCGTGGGATCTCTGCATTCGTTGTTCCTTAGTCGTTTTCCTAGTGCGCACACTACTTGCTAGTTCACGGGGCAATTTGGCAAGAGTTTCACTAGAGATAGTTGACAACAATGGTACAATTAGGTTGGCAAGACAATACTACATCAGAGCTAGCATTCAGGTCGGTCGACTGCCAGCGCAGCATGGTCGACCGCGTTCCAGCACGACTTCGTCGACCACGCTCCAGCAGTGCAAAGTCGACGGCGTGCCAACGCTGCAGGTCGACGTCGTGCCAGCGTTGCTCCCGCAGAAGAGCAGCGCACCCGCTTCGCAGGTGCTCGCAGATGATTGGCGTGCTGAGCCCCGTCACCTGCACAACGTACACACCAAGTCGTCCTCGTGCTGACGACTGCACCTGATCCACCATGTCGACCTCGGGATACCATCACCGAGGTCGGTCTCGCCAACATTGCCTGGGCGACCGTCGCACTCCTCCGCAGAACCTCGTCACCCAGGTAACCTGGTCGACTGGGCAACCACGTCGACCAGCTGCTCCTCTGTGTGCCCGTCGACCTCCCAAGTCGACGGCCACCTCTAGTCGACCTCACCAGTGTCAACGGGAGTTGTGTGTTGGCCCCGTCCTCGCGGCTGTCAATGGCGCCGAGCACGAGGGCAATGCTCAACAAGGACAACCTGACCTCGTACATCTTGCAGGACGAAGCGATGCAGGAGGCTGAGCGGTCCCAAGAGCTCTTGGTGTGGGCAAACTTCGTCGCCCCGGCAAAGCAAGGTGGCCGATCGGGGCTGCGCGAGCAGTCTGGCTGCGGTGGTAGCAGTGGCTGGAAGCCGGCCAAGGAAGTCGACAAGAAGAAGTCAACCAAGGACGGCGGTCGAGGAGGAGGAAGTCGACGTCGGAGTCACCTCTCCTTCGAGTGCCCCGACCGCAGTGACTCTGACGACGACGACGTGGGAATTCGTGGGAGGTCTGGCATTCGTCGTCCTCGTCGTGGAGGAAACAAGCCGCGCAAGGAGAAGAAGTCGACCACGTCGACCTCGGCGAAGGACGCCGACTCCCCTGCTGGCGGCAAGGGGCGGGACGACAAGACGGTGTCGTGCTCGCTGGTCGGCGTCGTGGAGCCGACCGTCTCGCTGGCGCCGGAGGCTGGGGAGGACTTCCAGGCGGTGGCGGCAGTCGTGCAGGCGAGACCGGCGGTGGTCCTGCTCGACAGCGGCTGCTCTCACCACCTAATGGGGACGAAGGAGGTCTTCGTCGACCTGCAGCCGAGCGGCGACATCAAGCACGTGCGCGACTTCAATGGGGCGCTGCAGGACGTCCAGGGTCGCGGCACTGTCGCTCTGCAAAGGGAGGCTGGGAAGCAGGTGCTCATCTCTGACGTGCTGTACGTCCCGGGTGTGCGGACGAACCTGCTTTCGGCCGGCCAGCTGAAGGAGAACGGCGTGAAGCTGAAGGAGGACGGCGACGGGATGTTGCTCGTCTCGGGGGCGGGTGACGTCCTCGGTCAGGCGTACTACACTGGGCGAGTCCTCTGCACCGACCTGCGTCCCTGCTCTCCGAGGTCGACGTCGCCCACGACAGATGTTGTGGCCCCGCGGGCGATCGTGTCGGCGACGAATTCGTCGCCGGACAGGATGCATGCGAGGCTTGCGCACGTCGGCATGGACACCATACGGAGCTCGGCGAAGCACGAGGTCGCCACTGGGCTGGACCTCAATTCGGCGACGGGCGCCGACTCACCGTGTGTCTCGTGCGTCGGCGGGAAGCTGGCGCGGCACACCTTCCCCGACCA